TGCTTGCAGAGGTGGGGCGTGGCTTTCACCTGTCCTTCTGGAGCTGGGTCGTGCTTGCTTTGGCTGCAAAGAGACAGCCGTGGGGGTGAGGCGGGCCCCGGGGGGAGCGGAGCGGCGGGGAGACCGAGGCCGTCCCTCCTCCAAAGGGACAGCTACCCTCTCGGCCGTCTTGCACACGCACAGGCCCTACCTCCCAGGGGCGGGGGCTACGTACGGTCGGCTCCAAGGGCAGCTGTGGGGGTGACAAGAGCCCGGCCGCGGGCCAGGGTCTGCAGGACTGGTTCCCGAAAGCAAATGTAGGAGAGAGAGGCTGACAGTGAGGGGGTGGAGACCAGAAGGAAGCCAGGCGGGGTGAGGAGGGAGGGGGCAGCAGTGAAAGCGAGCAGGGGCTGGTGGGCTGGGACACAGGCAGACAGAGGCTGGGACAGACAGACAGCCCCGCGCCCGGTGAGCACACACCGTCCCGGGTTATTCCGGCTGCCACGTCCAGAGCTCGCCCGCTGAAGTCCCTCACGACGCTGTCCACGGCCTCGTGATGCTTTAGAAACAGTGGACGAATGGCGCGGTGATACAGCATGTGAGCCCCGTTCCAAGGCCCGGGAATCATGCAGAACAACAGGAAGGCGCACTGCGGGCACGGGGCAGGAGTTACACTCTGTCCCTCGGGGATGAGCCTGGGCCTCCCCCATCAGACACCCCCTGGGACGGGCCTACTTCCTCGGAGAAGGTGAGTCTCCCCTTTGCACCCCGGGAGGCAGCACAGTCCCGTGTGTGTCCCGGGGGGCACCCACCTTGCCCGCGTAGTAGAAAGGGAACCAGGACAGGAGTAGATCGCTGAAGAACTCGGCCAGCCCGAACAGGCCGTACACCACCCAGTACGTGAGCCACACAGTGTCGTCTTCTTTGCTTGGGCTCTCGATTGCTTTGATTCTGGGGGGAGGTGGGCAGAGTCAGGGGCTGCCCAGAGCCCCCAGACACCCCCCACCTGGACAGCCAGCAGGACTCACGAAGCATACGCTGGGTACACAAAGCCGATTACATTGCACAGTAGAGACGCCCCGAAGCCGAAGAGAAGATACAGGCTTAGCAGAGTGGCGGCCCCTGCAGAAGAGAGGGTGTGGGCAGGAGGGCACCGTCCGAGCCGGACCATGGCGCCCCCAGGCCGCCTCCTGGCCTGCCAGACACAGTCTGCAACAACCACTCCCCCTAGAAGCCTCGGGGACCCCACCAGGATGCATTTGCTGCCCCTGCAGCACCTGGACGACCCCCACCGTGGCCCTCAGCCCCATGTTTTGTGTCTGTAACCAGTTAACCAGTCGGTCTCCCCCCAACCTCTGGACTGTGAGCTCCTCAGGGGCAGGCAGGGACCTTGGCCCTCATAGGTAGAGTAGCTGCCCAATAAACGTTTGTTGAATGAATACGTGACCATCTGCAATTGTAACTGCTTACTCCAGGTCCTATGGGAGAGGGAGGGCACAAGGGACCAGCGTTTAAATGTAAGTGATGGGAGAAAAACCTAAAAGAAAGGCCATTCTGACATTAAGGCTTGACTCGCAGTGAGCAGAGAAAGGCAACATTTGTAACTTTGATCTCAATGGAGTTTTTCATCCTCACCCCTGCAGACAAGCCCTGTGGGATCATCTTCTGTGGGGGCGTCCTGGGCGCTGGGCGGGGGGGAGCTGAGCAGCATCCTCGGCCCCACCCTGTCGATGCCAGGAGCACCCCCAGTCGTGACAACCACCCATGTCATGTCCCCAGACACTGCCCAGTGTCCTGAGGGGGACCGCATGGCCCTGTGTGAGGACCCTTGTCTTAGTGCGAGACAGCTAAGAGCAGTAGAGTCCCCCAGACCCAGGAGAGCCCTCTGCTATTCCACCTACCACGTGACACCAAGCAAGTCTCTCTCTGCTTGGAGCCTCAGTTTCCCCATCTGTCAGTGGGGTGGTAATGGCCCTGCCTCCTAAGGTTGCCGTGGGGATGGCTGCATACCACTCCACAGAGGGGCTCCTCCTGTCTACACGTTTACTGAGCACCTTCTAGGCATGCAAACACATTCCCAGGGATGAAGACTCCAAGAAAACATTGTTGGGGGATGCGGGGAGCCAGGAGCGCGAGCCACTCTGAAAGCATTAATGGTGAATACAGCATTTATTAAGTGCTTCTTGTGTGCAGGTCCCTGCACTTCCCTGCTGTAGTTCGTTCAATGGCCAGAACAACATGGGAACCCGGGGAGTGAGGCCCAAGGTCACTCACAGAGCATTTTACAGCCTCCAGCCTGATATCTGCAGAGATAGAGATCACTTGTGTACCCAAGGGCAGAGTCACCCCCACCCTTCCCTCCACCTGCATTAGTCTTCGTCCCTAGGGCCAGGGGTCAAGAGAGGGAGGGGAGCCTCCCCAGTTGGCCCTGGGAGGTCACTGCCTCCTCTGGGTTTCCTCCTTTGTTATCCGGGCTGGGGATTTGGTCATTTGGAGCAGCTGGGGCCCAAGAGTTCCCACATCTGGGCAAGGGGGAAATTGCTAGTTGGGGAGGAGTGGCTTTCCTAGGGCACCTCTCCCCTCAATCCCTATTTCTGCAGCCTCAGCAATGGGAGGATGACCTTGGACATGGGGGGAGGGCACAGCCCCAGAGATCAGCAACAGATGGGGCTTCAGGGGGAGGTGGGTAGGGAGGGGTGGATGCTCCAGACAGGGCAGGTGGCAGAGGCAGCCTCCCTCAAAGCCTCTGACTCTAGGCCTCAGTTTCCTCCCTGTGACTCCCAGCCTCCACACAGGCCCCTCCCCAGTGCTCTATGACCTAAATTTCCTGCCCACAGGTACCAGGGATGTGGAAAGTCAGCAGAGAAGTCAGGGCCTGCTCCCAGGGGGCAGGTTCCTGGCTGAGCTGACATGGTTGGGCACAGGAGGCCTGGGGGAATAAATGTGGGCCTTCCTTGGGCTGCCGGGCACGGGAGTACCCCTGCTGGGGGGAAAAGGGAGGAAAGGGGACTCCCAGGATCTGCCGACAGAAGGTGCTCAAAACACATGCCCCTGTCCTTGCCCAAAGCCCCCCGCCAGGTCTGGACAAAGTGTCCCCAAGATCCATTCCAGTGGGGTTCTTGGGAGAGGTGGCAGCCCTGATGGGCCTGGAACACGGAAAAAGAGGGGAGGAAGGTATTTAAGGAGTGCTTATTAGACAGTTTGGGAGGGTGGTGGGGGCCAGCCAAGGTCATTGAGGAAGAAAGTTAGAGGAGGCACTATTGGGATGGAGTAGCAGGACGATCGATCGGCTGCTCCATCCCAGGATGATCCCTCATAGTCAGGAGTAACTGGACCCCCTCTCTGTGGTCCCCCACCCAATATTTCTCCAACTCCACAGCAGCAGTCAAACAACCCAATTCAACTACTCACAAAGTGGGCCAAAGCCATCGGGGAGGAGAGGGAGAGGGCAGGCTAAGGGAAGGGTACTCGCAGGAAAACAATGGAGGGAAGAGGGATGGGAGTGACCCTTCCCCTCCTGGCCTGGAGCATCCCCCTCGACAAAACGGTAAGATGTCTACGCTTGCTTCCAGGCTGGGCTCCATGTGGGACGGGGGTGTGGCAAGACTCTCAGGGCACTGGCTGCCTACCCGCGGCCCTCTCCTCCCCCCCCAGGGCGTACAGAACAACTGGAAGAACCGGACTTCGGCCTGGCGGTCACCCAGGGCCACCAGGGAAGGGGCAGCGACAGCCTCCAGACCCGAGGACGGGAATGGAGGTAATGCAGGGACCGAGAGAGGGGGGTGACACTCGCCCTAGATCGCACGGCGGGGGCAGGCGAGAGGCTGCAGGCAGACGCGAAGTCCTGGTCCACGACCCCTCCCCAGGATCTCCGTCTCCCTGCTGGAGAGTGGGGTGCACCCCGCCGTCCGAGCCCGGACCCCGCAGGAGGCGCCGGCCGGAAAGGATCAGGTCCGGGACCCGGGTGCCCCAGAGCCTCAATGTGCCCGTCGGCGAAACGGGGCAGCAGTCCCAAGCGCCCCGGACTGCTCACCCGCGGCCAAGTACCGCTTGTCGATGCCTGTCTTGGCTTCGAGAGCCCCTAGCGCTTCCGTGGCCAAGTTCCTCTGTTCCAGAAGGCGCTCGAAGCGCTGGCGCAGGCCGTCCATGGCACCGGCGGGCCCGGGGTTGGCAGCCCGAGCTCGACCGCTGCCCTACGCACCCGCCCCGCAGCGCGCGTGCCGCCTTCCCCGGGCGCGAGCAGCTCGGCTCCGCCCCCGGGCTGGTCTCCGCCCCCGGGCTGGTCTCCGCCCCCGAGCTGGTCTCCGCCCCCTGCCCCCCGCTCCGGCCAATGGGAGGGCAGGGCGGACAAAGGAGGTGGGGCCTGCCCCGTCTCCCCTGCCTCATTGCCCTCTGGCGGGCCGCGGCCGCCTCAGCCGCGACTCCGGGGGGAGGGGGCGGGGCGCGGAGGCCAAGGGTGCCGATTGGCGGAGCGGGGGCGGGACGTAGCGGATTGGAGGGGCGGGGTCATGGCCGGGGATTATTGGCTGAGCTGCTGTGGGGGCGGAGCTTGTGGGAGGACCCGAAGAAAGTCCAGAGCTGATTGGCGAGAACAGGGGAGGGGCGGGGCTGATCATAAAGGAAGAGGGACAGAATCTCAGGGCAGGGGGATGGGACGGAGCTAAATCCAGGAGGCGGGACTTACTCGGAAGAACAAGTCCGGTTGGACCAGGCAGGAGGCAGGGCTGATTCAAGGAGGAGGGGTGTGCAGGAAAGTGGGCGGGGCCAAACAAAGGGGCGGGGCCAAGGCTAGCAGCCGAGAATCCGCTCCTCTTGGTCGGAAGATTTGGTCACTGTACAAATGGGGGAGACTGAGGCTCCAGAGGGTTTGGATCTGCGGAAGACCGGGGCGGGCCTTTGTCCCCCCCCGACCTCGGCCGCATCTTCGCGCTCCTCAAGGGAGAGCCGCAAGGCCCTCTGGGAGTTGAAGCCTTCCAGGGGTTGCTATGCCCTCGGGGGCGGGGCGGGCGCCTGGGACTCGGCGGTTTGGCCAGGGGGAGGGGCTTTCGGAGGCCCCGGCCCGGCCCCGCCCCCGCCGCCATGCGGCCCGCCCAGACTGCGCTCTGGCTGCGCCTAGTCGTAGCCCTGGGCCTGGCCCTCGTTGGCCCCCTGCGTGTAGGGTGGTCCTCGGCCCGGGCCCCCATCTATGTCAGCAGCTGGGCCGTGCGGGTGTCCCAGGGTTGCCGGGAGGCCGAGCGCCTGGCGCGCAAATTCGGCTTCGTCAACCTGGGGCAGGTGGGTAGGACCCAAATGGACAGGGGGGGCGGGGGCTGGACGACCCCAGACCCCGGAGACGGGAGGGGTACCCAAGATACCAAGAACCCCCAGCCCACCCTTGCCTCGACCAACTTCAGATTCTGGGACCTCTAGAGGGCACCTGGTTGGGTGGAGGATGCAAGCAAGAGGTGTGGGCCACTGTCCTGGGGGATTCCATCTCGGAGCCAGGTGCCATGGTTGCAGATGCTTCCCCACGTTCCCAGATCTTTCCTGACGGGCAGTACTACCACCTGCGGCACCGGGGCGTGGTCCAGCAGTCCCTGACCCCACACTGGGGCCATCGCCTGCGCCTAAAGAAAGACCCCAAGGTGAGCCTGGCCTAGGGGTCTTGGCCACCTCCTGTTATTCAAGGCACCTGCTCTCTCTTAGTCTGGGTTTCCACTTGGTTCCCCCCCCCCGCCCCGCTTCTGTACAGTGGGGACCATCTGTGGAGAGCAATGGGTCACGAATGGGTGCCGCACTCACCTCAGGGCCTGGCCCACTGTCAGCATTTCTTGTCTCCCCGCTCCCCCCCACTCCCCTCCTCTAGCTCACCCTGAAAGATCAAGGTTCCTCTGTACTCCATAAAGACGGCAGGTACCGTTCTAGTTCCTGGAATGGAGAGAAGGGAATTGGCCCTTTTAAGGACAGAAGCAACAGGTCCAGAGTAGGAACCTTGCCTAAAGTCACCCAGCGAGACTGTGAGATGCTCAGAGAGGTGCCAGACTGGGGGAAAAGGCTTTAGATGCCAAGCTGGGGAGTTGAGGCTGAATCTGCAAGCCCTCAGGAGTCATGATGGGGTATGGGCTGGGCCCCGGGGCTGATTGGCATGGAAGTAAGAGGCTTGGTAACCTGAAACCCACTAGGAGCATTAGATGCAGGAGTTGCTGGTTCCAGATGGGGTCTACAGGAGAGAGGCCAGGGTTTGCCAATGGATTGGATTTGTGGGACAGAGAGAAGTCAGGGCCAGCTCCCACGTCTGAAGCTGTGCAAATGGGGAGACAATTGCCCCATCACAGATGGGGGGGAGGGCACATGAACTGGTTTCGGGGGTGGGAGATCAACAAGGAAAAAAGGAAGGGCAGAGGTCTGAGGAAGAACAGCCTGGGGCAGGCAGAACAGCATGTGCAAAGGCCCTGGGGTGAGGGAGCCACTGTGGCTGTTGTAGCAGAGGGAAGCTGGTGAGGGCCAGATTAAGCAAAGCTTTGTGGGCCCTGGAGAGGGGCGCAGCACAGGAGGGTCTCAGCAGGGAGTGATGCTGCAGTGTTGTAGAGAGGCACGGGGGCTGAGGGGGAACCCGGGAGGAGGCAGGTATGGCCATCCAGGGATGTCTTTTGAGGGGTGGGGAGGAGTGGTAGAGAGAAATGGCCACTATAGGGGGGAGATGGGCAGGTCTTGGGCAGAAGGATCTAGAACAGGGACTAGGGAAGGGGCAGGGTTGGACTTCAAGAGCAGTTGCCACATGTCAGTGGGCCCAGGTGACTGGTGATCTGAGGGCCTCGGTCCCCTCTGAAGGCAGAGCCTCAGGCACATGGGGACCCCAAAGAGCAGCCTCAGCAAACACAAGGTCCCGGGACCTGTTCCACACCATGAGGGACCCAGGACAGGCAGTGGACTACCCAGACACATCCTACCCAGCCGTGGCCCCACAGACAATCTCCCCTTGGTGGACCTGGGAAAGAGGCCTGTCAACCGTGGAAGCAGCCCTGGGGCCCTTTGACTGGGAATCGGTGGGAGAGACTGGGAGGGGCAGGGCCCTCTAAGGGGCATGGGTGTGGGGGCAGGACCGTTGGGTGGAGGGTGGGCTGGTTCTTGGGGTCCAGTCCCCTCTTGCCATGTGCATCCGCCTCTAGGTGCAGTGGTTTGAGCAGCAGACGCTCCGGCGGCGGGTGAAGCGCTCGGTGGTGGTACCCACAGACCCCTGGTTTTCCAAACAGTGGTACATGGTGAGCAGGCTGGGCTGGGTGGTGGGGGCGGGTGGGACCAGAGCCCCACTGACCCCAGCACCCGCCTTGCACAGAACAACAAGGTGCAGCCGGACCTGAACATCCTGCAGGTCTGGAGCCAGGGGCTGTCGGGCCAGGGCATTGTGGTCTCTGTCCTGGACGATGGCATCGAGAAGGACCACCCAGACCTCTGGGCCAACTACGTGAGACCATGGGGACCGGAGTGCTGGGTGGGGGCTGCCCCAGGTCCCACAGCCGGCCCCCCAGCCCTCATGTCCCCGCTCCGCCCCCAGGACCCCCTGGCCAGCTACGACTTCAATGACTATGACCCAGATCCCCAGCCGCGATACACACCCAGTGATGACAACCGGTGAGCCTGGCATCTTCCAGGGTGTGAGGGCCGCCCCCCCTCCCCCCGTGCCTTGCGGGGAGCCGGTGGGTGGGGGGCTGTAACGGGCTCCCCTCCCCCCTTGGCACCAGGCACGGGACCCGCTGTGCTGGGGAAGTGGCAGCAATGGCAAACAACGGGTTCTGCGGCACAGGCGTGGCCTACAATGCGCGCATTGGAGGTACGCGGGCTCCGGCTCCTTGGGCCCCGGGACGCTGGGCGGCCAGGGGTGCCGGATCGAGAGCTCGCGGGCAGCCCCAGGACGGCACCTCGGGGGGCGTGCGGGGCCCCGCACGGATGCCCCATCCCTCCCGGGGAGCTGGACAGACCCGCAGGGGTGGGGTGCGGCGGGGCCATGCACAGAGGCCCGACGTCCCCTCCCGCCCCTCCCGCCGCGGCCCGTGCAGGCGTGCGCATGCTGGACGGCACCATCACGGACGTCATCGAGGCCCAGTCGCTGAGCCTGCAGCCGCAGCACATCCACATCTACAGCGCCAGCTGGGGCCCCGAGGACGACGGCCGCACGGTGGACGGCCCCGGCATCCTCACCCGGGAGGCCTTCAGGCGCGGCGTGACCAAGGTGAGCGCACCCGGGGGCCTCGGCGGGCCTGGGCCTGCTTCCAAGGCCGACGCCCCCATCCCGGTCCCCCGTCCCTGTGTGCAGGGCCGCGGTGGGCTGGGCACGCTCTTCGTCTGGGCGTCGGGCAACGGCGGCCTGCACTATGACAACTGCAACTGTGACGGCTACACCAACAGCATCCACACGCTCTCGGTGGGCAGCACCACCCGGCAGGGCCGCGTGCCCTGGTACAGCGAGGCCTGCGCCTCCACGCTCACCACCACCTACAGCAGCGGCGTGGCCGCGGACCCGCAGATCGTGAGTGTCCGCACCCCAAGTCCGCCAGACAGGCTCCTCCCTGCGGCCTGTCCCCGCCCC